AGCATGTGTGCGAGTTTTGGGCCGCTGTTAAAAAACTAACAGCCACTTAACAAGATTTTTTGAAAATACATATTTTTGGAAAAAAATGAAAGGTGGAATATTTTAGGTAAATTTATTTTTAAATTTTTTGACATGCAAAGTTTTTTTAAGGATAAGAACCAAATTCAGATATTAATGATTAATGATATAGAATAATTACTCGTATTTTTCTTAACCGAATGACGCACAATGAGTCAATTTATCTGTTTCCTTTGGAGTTCAAACTTGGGAGAACTTTTATTCATAATCATTTATATTTTAAAGGAAAAATTATCTCAAATAATCCCACCTTTTAGTGCTCTTTCAAAAATAATTCTACTTTTCACTCTCACCAGAAAAACTAACAGTCACTTAACGGAAATTTTGAAAAATGCCCGTTTTTCGAAAATAAATGAAAGGTGGGATTATTTTAGGTAAATTCTCCCTTTTTCGTTTTTTAATTTCTTTAAATGTATTTTTATTTTATTTTTTTGGAAAAAATAACAAATTTAAGTGTTTTTAGAGTGAAATTAATTTTTTTTTTCAATAACCAATAATATTGTAATAATTAGAAAATAAATTATTCTACACAATACAGCTAATTTATTAACTTCATAACTAACTACTCCCTCCGTTTGGAAAAAGTGTTCCTCTTTTGAATTTGTGTAAAAATAAGGAAGTAGAGTATTAAATTGTAGTTGACTTCCAATTTTGCCCTTGATGTGATAGGTAAAAGTAAGATGTACTGGATAGATTATTAGAGATAAAGTATGATGTGATAGGTAGAGTATGAAAAAATAAGGGTAAAAGTGGTTTTTTAATAGAAAGTGGAAGTATTTTGTTGGAAGAGAAAAAATGAAAGAGGAAGTGTTTTTGATAACGGAGGGAGTACATTTTTTTGTAAGTTGCATTTACTGTATTTTTCTTGAGCTGCACTTCAAATTATTTTTTGATACTACATTATTATTATTTCTTTAAAAAATGGCACTACAAAACTTATGAATATTTTTCAATAGTTCTATATAAATATTTTTTGTGAAACAACATTACAATAGTTGTGAAAATAACACAACAATTTTTTTCTCTAAAATAAAACTTTTATTTTTATAACTCACTACATTTTCTGATGTATTGCAATTTTTCCATGAACACTCTGAAATTTTTATTGATAATCTTATATTGCAATAAAATTTTCTTTCTAAAATGGAACTACCCAATTTGTGATTTTTTTAATAATTCAATACAAATTTTTCCCCAAAATAGTAATTTAAAAGTTGTGAAAATGACACAATATGTTTTTCTCCGAAACGGAACCCATAAATTTTATAAATCACTATAAAATTTGTTAATCGTTAGACAAATCTCTAACAAGAGTGTATTGTTATATTTTTAAAAATATTAATTTTAAATTCAAAACTAAAAAAGTAAAAAGTAAATTTTTCTAAAATAATCACACCTTTCATTTATTTGCAAAAAAACAGGCATTTTCAAAAACTTCCGTTAAGTGGCCGTTAGTTTTTTAACGGTGACCCAAAACTCGCACACATGCGAAAAAGTGGGATTATTTCCGGTGACAGTGAAAAGTGGGATTATTTTTGAAAGAGCGCGAAAAGGTGAGATTATTTGAGATAATTTTTCCTATTTTAAAAAAGGGTAAGCCTCATCCCTGAGGGCCTCTAAGACCCGGTCAAACAGTTATTGAGAGAAGATAAATTAAACTTTGAATCCGGTACTTATAGAGGCCTCATGCTTAGCATAATTGCCTTCCATCGCAGTTGTGTGTAATCAAACTCGGGTCTTACCCCCTTGGCAATCTTTACTTCTGACAACTACACAACAGGGTGGAACGAGCTTTTTGTTTCGAATTTTTAAGTTTTCTTTGCTACAACATTCTTAAAAAATCGAACAAAATAAATTAAAATATCAACCTTAAAAGTTAAAATAATGGTAAAATAAATTCACTCGTCCCACAAAACCTTTATGATTTTGACTTTTAAAAGATTTAAGGGAAAAGTATTTTGGTATTTTCTAAAAATGTCCTTGGATGTGATCTGTAAAAATAAGATGTGATGAATAGATTAATACTAAAAAATGTGATGTGATACACATGTTCAAAATTAGTATGGATAAAAGTGATTTTCTAATAGAAATAAAAAAGATTTTTGGGGACGAATGAAATAAGAAAGGAAAAGATTTAGAGGAACAGAGAGAGTATAATATTTTCTGATGAAAATTATATACTATATTTAATGATGACTGATGACTTTGATGAGTAATAATCGTTATTACTCCGAATTGTATGTAACTTAGGTAGGTTAAACACTCACTTACATTGTCCCTACTCCGAAAATAAAAAAGGATTGATTATTCAATCAATGTTTAGCGAACCAATTAAAGAAAAGACTGAAGAGAGAGAGTGTGTGTGTGTATATATATATAGACACACACACACCGCACACACACACATGTAATGAAAATAAAATATTTTATCTAGTATTGAATTATTTCAGTGATCACCGGAATGACAACGAATTCAGAAGGGGCTACACACATGGATGAATAAGGGTGTGTTTTGGGGCATTACATAAAGGGCCTTATGAAGTTTAAAAAACGTAATTTGGAAAATCCGAATTTTCAATCCCGGGAGATTGTTCAACATAAACTTCTTCTTTCAAACAACCATTTAGAAAAGTACTTTTTACATCCATTTGAAAGAGTTTGAAGTTAAGGGAACTTGTAAAAGCTAATAACATGCGAATAGATTCAAGCCTAGCAACCGGAGCAAAAGTTTCATCATAGTCAAGTCCTTCAACTTGGATATAGCCTTTAGCAGAATGTCGACTTTTATTGGTGATAATAACACCATTTTCATCAAGCTTGTTTCTAAAAACCCATATGTCGCCCACAACGGGTCGGTTTTGCGGTCTTTCGACTAGCTCCCAAACCTTGTTGCGTTCAAATTGCTCCAGCTCTAGTTGCATGGATATAATCCAATCACTATCTTTTAGTGCATCTTCTACGTTCTTAGGTTCAAATTGACTAACGACTGCATAGTGTGCACAAAGGTTGTAATTGTTCCTAGTTCTAACTCCCTTTTCAATATCTGCGATCATATTGTCTCTTGGATGATTTTTCAAGTGCTTGTGTGCCTTTAGAAGTTTCTTTTCTTCATTTTCTTCTTCTTGTGCAGGAATTTCCAATGATTCTTCCTCCTCTTCTTCTTCATTAGAACCTGCAACTACCTTACTCGACCCAAATGGATCGGTCTCATCAAATTTTATATGCATAGATTCTTCTACTTTATGATTTGATTTATTATATACCCTATATGCTCTATTATTTGTTGAATATCCAAGGAAGATTCCTTCATTTGATTTAGGCTCAAATTCGCCTAAGTGATCCTTGGTATTCAAGATATAACATTTACAACCAAAAACTTTGAAATAGGTAATGTTTGGTTTTCTACCTTTCCAAAGTTCATGAGGGGTTTTTCTTATAATAGGTCTAAGTAATACCCGGTTTAGAACGTAGCATCCCATGTTGACCGCTTCTCCCTAGAAGTATTGAGGCAAGTTATGCTCATTTAGCATGGTTCTTGACATTTCTTGCAATGTTTTATCCTTCCTTTCAACAACTCCATTTTGTTAAGGTGTTCTTGGAGCCGAGAAGTTGTGAGAAATACCATGTTCAGCACAATATGTTTCAAAGTTGGTATTTCGGTATTCTCTAGCTCTATCACTCTTAATGGATGTTATAGTATGGCCTTTTCGTTTTGGATTTTCTTGCACAATTTAACAAATGCATTAAAAGCATCATCTTTATTAGCAAGTACTATAGTCCATGTGTAACGAGAAAAATCATCTACTATGACAAAAGTAAAACTAGCTCCACCCAAGCATTGAACATCTACGGGCCCAAATAAATTCATATGCAATGGTTCAAGTGGCCTTGATGTTAAAACTATTTTGATGGGTTTAAATGATGCTTTATGTGGTTTTCCGAGAGAGCATGCATCACAAAAACGAGAAGGAGGTATGCTCATCATTTGTAGCCCAACAACAAGTTTTTTTTAGTAAAGTTTTCTTAAAAGATCATAACTAGCATGTTCTCGTCTACGATGCCATAATATTGAAAATTCAAGCGAAGTAGTAAGAAAAGTGATTTTTGAGTTGCTCAAGTCATTGGAATTGAACTTGTATAATTATCCATCTCTTTTAGCCTCAAAACTAATTTCATCTTTGTTTTGGCCGTATAAAATGCAGGAATTTGCATTAAACTCAATTTTGTGGCCATTGTCACAAACTTGGCTTATGCTAATTAAATTAAACTTTAGGCCATCAACAAAATAAACATCATTTATTAAAAAATCACTTGAAATACCTATCGTACCTTTACCAATGACCTTCTTCCGGGATTTGTCTCCAAGAGTCATTATTCAAGTAAATGTCCATCATTGCTGGCTATTATTCCTTCCACGAAGACATTATTAAGTCCTATTTAGGGAATGAAAAAGTTTAAGTCCTAGATTAGGTAAGTCATTATGTTGCAGTCCTATTTAGTGCAAATTTCACATGTGACATTGTGATATGATTGCATTTGAAATATAGATTGTTTAATTACCTTTTGTTTCATTCTACATGATCTGAAATCTTATAATATATAAATAACATATATTGATCGACCTAGATACCCGTTTAAAATTTACTCATTATAAGAGGAGGAGGGAGGGTCACCCGCCTATAGAGCTTGAATGGGAGGGGGGAGCCTGTACGTGGACCGTATGTTTCGGAGTTTACTGGGCTTGTAGGGTTTGAGGCCTGATCGAGAGTGCCGATTACTTATAATAATTGGCATGATGTCCCGAAAGACCTGAAGGCCACGGTACTAGATAGGGTTCGGGTACGTACCATTTTATGCATCCTTATCTGCTTCCTTTAATTGTTACATGGTTCTATATATAATAAGTTGTTGCTTCATTTTCTTGTAAGATATATATGTGATACCGCCCGATGGGGTTCAACATGTCATGAAGGTTGCCGGGTCGAGATTTCGTGCTTTCAGTACATATTTACGAGGACATTATATGACGGATGGTGGGGATCATTACGGTGAGACTCCCTTTCATCTTTATAGCTTCAAAGAGCCAGAGCATTGGGAAGAGTTTCAGACCCAAAACGAGACCGAGGAAGCTAAGGTAAAACATAATTACGTTCTTTGAATGAAATTAACTGATATATAAATTTATTTTAAAAAATTGTTTTAGGCTTTGAGCAAGAAGAACAAGGATATACAGAAGAAGAATCCTTATCCGCACTTTATGGGGCCGGGGTGAATATGCCATGCTTCAGCATGAGTTGGCAGCTTCTCAGGCCACCACTTCTGCTGATATCGCTGGGTCGTCTACGGAGTTGGGTTCTCATCTGGGACGGGAGGACTCTTGGTTGCAAGGTCACACCCCTGGGAAGCAGCCAGAAGTTACGGACCCTGCACAGATGGAGATTCGTGATAGAATAGTAAGCATATAATCTACAATTACATCAATAAATTTGTTTATTACTTGTTTATTATTTGCTTACAGTTTATTTACTTCTTTTATTTCTTAACTGTAGGTCCAGCTGAAGAAAGAGGTCGCAGCCGGTACCTTTGTTCCAGATGGGCACAATGATGTACTGACTAGAGCTTTACGGACTGCTAAGCACCTGCGGCAGACGAGGGGTGTTGGGTCATACTCGGGCTTACGTAAAGTTTTCAAAGGCAACATGAAGCCCCGTAAGCCTGAAGGTAACTATATGACTGAGAAGGATCTTTTGCAGCGTCTTCTTTCCCTTTTGCAGTAGTATGGACTATTTGTGTCCAGGGGTGCTCCAAACTTTGCATCCATGTCGTAGCACACACCTTCTGTAACACCTCATTATGGGCAGCGTAGTAGCAAGGTTTCTACAGATTTGTTGACTTCGCCGATCTCCCTGATGTACACATATTTTACAATTTAGGTTTCAAGTTCGGTTTACTTTTACTTATTTCTAACATTAGTTACCTAATTTTTTTTGTAGGTTGCTGCTTGTTACTTGAGGATCTCTGATCTAGCCGATTATATAGTGGCACATGGATCAGTTTTCCCACGTGCACCAGGAGATGTGGTGCACGGTGTTTCCCTCCTTCCCCACCAGGTTAAGGTCTCTGTGACCCTTGTGCATCCTGGAATTGGTGAATATACCATTTCTTGTCCGACTGAACATATAGAGACTATCGCAGATTGCGAGGAGAGCTTCGTTGCATGGCCAAAGTCGTTGGTGGGCCTTGGAGATGTAAGAAGTAAATAAATTTAGTTCTTTTTTATTCAACATCATTTGGGCTGTGTTTCACGTATCTTTTTTTGAAAATATTCGTAGCCCCAGTGCACACGGCTCGACATGGCGACTTCTCATCGACCAAATTTCATCCTATTCTCAGCATACGCCCCACTGCTCCTCCTAGCTCTCCCGTACATGATGTTGTTGACCGGAGCTCATACGCCTCTTTCAGGCCAAGGTGCTGAGAGTTCTGTCAGTGGCTGACACGCACATCTTCTTTGCCTACCATCAGCGTCATTCTCGATCCCGAGTGCATGCTCTATTCAGAGGAGACGAAGCTGAGGATGCATTCGGAGAATATACGTGAGTTCATGCGATGGGAGGAGGTCGATTAGACCATCATCATTGTTTTCTTTAGGTATGTCAAGCACTACGTACGAATAAATTACTATTGTAAATTATAATTATTTGTTATAACGGCTCGGTTCCATGGCCACTGGATTCCAGTGGCCACGGAAGCCACTACCCCCCTACGGAGCTCCGTTCATAAAATTGATGATTTTTACTCCCTCTGACCCCCCCCCCCCCCCCNGACCCAAACTAATCACCCCATCTACGTCAATTGCACCTCGTAAGTATAATTGACTTTAAAGTCAAAACTTTTGACTTTATACTTACGAGGTGTAATTGACGTAGGTGGGGTGATTAGTTTGGGCCGGGACTTGGCGGGAGGGTTTACCGGGGGGGTTAGAGGGGGTAGGAATCATCAATTTTATGAACGGAGCTCCATTGGGGGCAGTGGCTTCTATGGCCACTGGAATCCAGTGGCCATGGAACCAGGCCGTTGTTATAATTGTAATTATTATTTACTTGTGAAATTACTATATTGTTGCGGGATCATATGATGGAGCACGACATCACGACTGTCGGGTTGTTATGTCCGGATAACATGGCGTATGTGGTAGATTTTGGAGATCGCCAGTATCTGGATAGAGCATCGAGTCCTATCAATCGCGGCCTTGATACTTATGTCGTTGTATCTATCGAAATTGTATGTTTTCTAAACCATTTGCAATATGTATTTCGGTTTTTTATATTGATTATTAAGTTAATGACGAACACTTTTTCAATTGTAGGCGTCATTAGGTGTTAGTTGTAATACGTTTGTTTGAAAACAAAGTGTATTTTCTGAACTCAATCAAGGCGACCGGAGGGCATAAGCAAATGAAATTGAAGACTTTTGTCAACGAGTAAGTATTAAGAAATTTATTTCTTATTAATGAAATTTATTATTTGCTAAGATATTTATTTCTTATTGATTTGTTTTTTCCATGTATTAAAGGTCTTGGTGGTTACTTCGGGAACGGCACATGCCTCAACTTAAGGCTTGACCGGATTGGATTGATGTTCCCGGAGTACCCCAACAACCAGGGAACGTTGAGTGTTTTTATTATACGATGCGATTTTTATGGCTCATCGTCACTTTCTATGCTCAGAGTTCTTTACCGTTTAACGATGTAAGTTTATTTTAGTGTGTTTTAAAACTAATGAAGTTTTCATCATCATTTTCTTTTTCATAGATTATTAAACTTTATGTTGTATGTTGTTTTCGTATTCCAGGTGTTTCAGTTTACTTCGCCCTATACCACATCCGAATGAGGAGAGGTTAGAGAGTTTTGGGCGGGGGGTTTTCTCGATGAACTAGTGTAAGTTTTGTTTTGTATTGTATTGTATAGTATTAGTTGTATGTTAGAAGAGTGTAGTTGTTTGACTCTTAGTTGTGTTGTTAAAACTTAGTTTGTAAATGTTGATATTTTTTAAGATGTACAAGTGATGGAGGCAAATGTTTATTTTTTTGGTTTAATTTGATTTGTGACATTTGGGTTTTGTGAATATATTTGTGTTCGTTGTTATTGAATTTGTATATTTTGCACAGAATTCTGTGCAAAATTGAAAATGTAGTAGATTGTGAGCAAACAAAAAAAACTAGTTTAATATTCGATGCAAAAGCCTCTTCCCAGAAATGAGAAAGGGGCATTTGCATCGGTTATTACCAAATAACCGATGCAAAAGCCTCTTCCCAGAATGGCGCCATTTCTGGGAAGGGGCATTTGCATCGGTTATTTAGTAATAACTGATGCAAAAGATTAGGCATTTGCATCGGTTATTACCAAATAATCGATGCAAATGCTCCTTCCCAGAAATGGCGCCATTCTGGGAAGAGGCTTTTGCATCAGTTTTACCACCGATGCAAAAAGTAACCTGAGCATTTGCATTGCTGGCTTTTACATCGGTTCAAAACCAATGCAAAAAGGTAAAAATAAACGATTTAAAAGGTCTTTTTGTATTATATACTCCCTCCGTCCCAAAAAAAATGTGACGGTTTGACTTTTTGGAAAATTAAGGGAGAGATATTTTGGTATTGACTTTTCAAAAATACCCTTGATGTGATGGGTAAAAGTAGGATGTGATGGGTAGATTATTAGAAAAAAGGTATGATGTGATAGGTAGGGTATGAAAAAGTAAGGGGTAAAAGTGGTTTTTTAATAGAAATGTAACGGACTTTACGGGACGCGGTTTTTTCTAAACGTAACAAACTTTTTGGGACGGAGGGAGTATATAATATATAGAGACAAAAGTGGCATAATGTGTTTATTGTAAAAAAAGGGATATGACAATATTGTCCTATAGTATGTACTCCCTCCATTCCTAATTATCTGTCCATTATGGAAATTTTATTTGTTCACAAATAACTGTCCATTACAAGATCCAATGCAATAATGTGTAGTGAAATGACTATTTACCCTTCTGTATTTTAGAAATACAACTCAAGTTTTAAGTACGGAGTAAATGTAATTTCCTTGGGAGTATGAACCAAATACTAAATGTATTTTTCTTGGGAAATCTACACCACCGTAGGGAGTAACTGTTCTTCTCTCTCAAGTTTTTTTTTCTTACTCCAAAAAGAATCCCTTCAACTTCAAATCTCTTTATACAAATAGGTATTGCCTAAATTTTTCAACATCACTTATGGTTCTTGCTCTGTAGGAGTTAAATTGAGATTAATTAGTTCTTCAAAATTGTTATGTGGAGGACTTAAATTCAAATCTATGTTTAAATTCATACTTGTGTAGTTGTATCACGTAGAAAGTTTCTACTCCCAGAGAGAGAAATTTATACCCAACTTATTGAGGAATTTTGGAGGGAGAGTATAGATTAAAAAATTTTTATACAAAATTTTCAGTTAAATTTGAGAAAAAAAGGATAGGGAATTTTTTGTTAAAGAGAGACTGCATGGGAGAAGGAGAATGAAGATTTGGATTAGTTTGTATTTTCCATCGGGAGTGGACACCGCTACTATGAAAACAAGTGCCATATTAATAATGTTGTGTGAGTAGGAATACTGCGCAGTAGGAATATTAAATTAATACGGGTATGCTTTCGGATTAATTAAGGGCATATTAGGATTTACACTAAAAAATTAATGTATTCTTAAAAAACGTGAATTAACCTTAAAAGACAGATAATTAGGAATGGAGGGAGTAATACTTAGTTTAAAACCCATACAATTTAGCGCAGCGAGAAGAATTAAACTCTTTAAGTATTCTTGGGAATGGTACTAATAAAGTACTAATTGGTTAAGTATTGTAAAAACAAAAGGGATGTGGGGAAATGTTACAAGAATGCTCAATTTAAGAAGTAAATCTACTACTTGTATTGTTGTTTGGATAATTTACGTATCCTTAGTAGAGTATATATAAAATATATATACTCAATTAAAATAAATACTTTTGACAACAAATTTTGATTTATAAAAATTGAAAATAAAAGTGATATCATAGATTTTGGCCTCAAATCAGCTAAGAAAACGTTTTCTGTCACAAATTTGCTACGGAAATCAGCAATTGAAATGCACTTGTCGCAGAGTTTTTAGCAAAATCTTCATCTTATTTTTGATTTACAACTTACCACACATTCCGTTCTCCGCTTCAGCCATTTCTTCGATTCGCCGCCCTTCCCGGCTTCTACCTCGCTGCCCCTCTTTAGACACCGTCCACCTACTCACGTTGGCCTCCACCTCCAAAAGCAATCACACACGCGAGACACCAGGATTTTAGTGCCTCGCTTGCACCACCCCTCCGTCTGCCGCCCCGCTCGCACCACTAGACGGCGTCCTCCACCACTGTCGCAGAACCTCGCCTCGCATCGCAGCACCCTGTCTCACTTTCACCACCGTCCGAGCGGTAGTCCCTCTTACCAAACCACAATTTCAAGGTCTTTTTCTTTATTTTTATGCAATTTATATTTTTGGTGAAATTGAGTTGAAATTATGTGAATTTACTTTGATATTGATTGAAATTGACATGGAATTAGGTAAATTTGAATATAGTTTTGTGAAATTGAGTTAAAATTAGTTTAGTTAATTTGAAGTTGATTTATAATGACATGAAAAGGTGAAATTTAATGAATTTGGGTGAAATTTACTTGAAATTGGTGAAATCAAGTGCATTTTTGGTGAATATAAGTTTTAAATGGGTGAAAGTATGTTGAATTTGATTGAAATTAATTAAGTTCATATTCTTTGAAATTAATAGTAATTTGATTCGAATTGACTTGAAATTTTGTGTAATTGAATGTTTTTTTTCAATAAAATTACAGTATTTTATTTCATTCATAAGTTTGAATTACAAAGTCTTAGAGTTATGTTAGATTTATTGTTTTTTATTTGTCATTCAAGATTGTTGATTGTTACGTTTATCGTACATAAAGTTTCTTGTTTAATGTCTTTCAATTGCTAGGCATTTTTAATATGAGCCCCCCATTCGAAAATCGTGACTTGATGTACAAAAAGTATGAGAGAGAATGTGTTGTTAGTCAAGAATGGAAGGATAATGTTGAAGGGTTCGTAAAGTATTGTGTGTCAAGTCCGAATATCTATAAAATGCAGAACAAGAAAATGTGTTGCCCATGCATGAAGTGTAAGAAGGTTACGTTTAGATCATAAGCAAAGATGTTAGAACACATAGTATAGTTCGGATTCATACCAAATTACCACGATTGAGTTTGTCACAACGAGAATCACGACGATTTGGTTCCCACCCCAACGACGTAAAGTTCCTCGTCAGGCCAATTCCACTGACATGTTTGATCAGACGGGTGGAGAGCAATATGTAGACATGTTTTCACAAGCCTTAGTAATTGCCAAATTGGTATTCCAAAACTTAATTTTGAGAAAGATACTATGATGAGGTCATCAACAAAGCATAAGTTTACCAATTCAAGGGTTTTGCACATTGGGTGGTATTTGAACTCCTTTGTTTTGGCCATTTGTTAAAGAAGCCTACTTAGGTATTCCATGTCTAGGACAAAGAGTAGTGGGGAGAGGGGGTCTCCTTGCCCAAGCCCTTTTTTCCCTGCAAAGTACCCATGAGCTTCTCCATTGAGTTGAACAGAATATGAAGGTGTAGAAATACAGTGTTCAATCCAGCTCACAAACTGATGGGGAAAATTTAGCAGTTCTATAATATGTATGACTGCCTTCCAGCTTACATGATCATATGCTTTTCTAATATCCAGTTTCATGAGGCATCTGGGTGAAATTCCTTTCCTTTTATAGTTCTAGTTAGCTCATGGCAGAGTAATACATTATGAACTAATTTCCTCTCTTTGATGAAAGCCCCTTGGTTTTGATTTATTATCTCTGGAAGTATCTTTTTGAGCCTGATACATATTATTTTTGAGATGGCCTTGTATATAACATTGCAGCATGCTATGGGCCTGTAGTCATTTGCCTCCCTAGGTGCTTCAGATTTAGGAATCACGGTGATTGAGGTGGCATTAATCTGCTTAATAAACATCCCATTCTCAAAGAAATCCAAAATAACATCTGTTATTACTTCCCGAACTTGACTCCATTGATGTTTGAAGAACCCACTGCTGAACCCATCTGGACCAGGGCTTCTCCCACTGGGTATGCTGAAAATAGCTTCCTTAATTTGGTCCCTTCTTACCTTCTCTATGAGCCATAGTTGTTGTATAGGGTTAAGCTTCTTACATTTTAGCATTGCCCCCCTGTTTATGGCTTCTGTCTCACAAGGGTTTCCAAACTGATTTTTGAAGTAGTCATTCAGAACCTCAGCCACTTTCTTATCCCCTTCAACTATCTCCCACTCTGTGTTTTTGATGGTTAACAATTAATTCTGGATTCTTTTTTTTTTTAATCCAAGAGTAGAACAGCTTCAAGTTCTGGTCCCCTTTTTTAATCCACTCCACTTTACATAACTGATTAATCATCATAGATGAATGTTTCAGTTTTGTGTGCAATCTCTGAATTAGTGTTTTCTCTTCCTCGATAAGCTCTCCATCATTGGGATTTCCTTTTAGCTTTGCTAGGGTTTTTTCTAGTTGATCCCTAACTACATTTCCTCTTGTAGCCCTCTAAATTTGCTTCTTTGTAGTCCTTTAAGAGGTTTTTTGAGGGCTTTCTGTTTTTTACAAACTCTATACATTGGCCTACCTTGTATGTTCTCCATCCATACCTTTTCCACCAGTTTTGGAAATTCAGGATCCCTGATCCACACGTCACAAAATCTGAAGCTCTTGCTTGGTTTCCCATAGCTTGTATATTTAATGAGGGGTGTATGGTCTGATAGGCCCTCTTCTTTGACAATTACCTTGGTGTTATAGGTACTCATCCAGTCTATGTTGCAAAGAGCCCTGTCAATTTCAGAGTATATCCTATGCCCCTGCCCTTGTCTATTTGACCATGTGAAGAATGCCCCTTTTGTAGGCATTTCTTCTAACCCACAAGCTATCACACAGTTTTTGAAATCTGTTATGTCTTCCCTTCCAATGGGATTTCCCCCTTGTCTGTCCTCTATATGTAAAGCACAATTAAAGTCCCCCATTACTACCCAAGGTCATTTGATGTTGGTGTTGATTTCCAGTAGTTTCCTCCATAGGTCCAACCTTTTGCCTGGTTCGGTTTGAGCATATACAAAGGTGATGAAGAAATTATCCTCCCTTCCAATCCTTCTAATCTCACAATGGATACGGTGATCATTTTTGTCATTTTCCTTGACCTCAAACATTCCTGGATTCCATGTCACCCATACTTTCCCTAGGTAGTGCTCCTGATGATTTGTTCAAGTATTCCAACCTTTGGTTATTCTTCCTTCTACTTTCTTGACTTTATTTTCCTTTATTTTGGTCTCTAAGATGGCCATGAGACCAATATTATTCTTACTAATAAACCTTTTTATTTCTTCTTGCTTATTGGGGCTGTTGAGGCCCCTAGTATTCTAGCATCCAATCATGAGAGGAATGGATAATGCCCCTCATAGGGGGCATCATGGAATATTCTGTTTATTACTGACCCCTCATAAAATTGTTCTTGAAACAGATAGCTGCTTTTAGCACTCTTTCTCTTGTCCACCAATTGAAATCCATCATTATCCAGGCTAGTATTTGGTTTTTCCTGGATGATGTTTTCTTGCATCTCTTCCTGTTTGTTTACCATCTCTTTTCACCCTTTCATTTGATCATTCTTTTTTAGTTTCCATCCATATCATTTTCCTTTGAAACTGTTTTTCCACTTTGGTTCTGCAGTCTCCCCCAAAGTGGCTTATCTTCTTGCAGTGTGTACATTGAACCGAGCACCATTCATACTCCAGTTTCTGGGTAACCACTCTGTTATCCTCATCTATGAAGGTCACCTTTTCTGGGAATTTGCTTTGCATACTCACTTCTATTTGGATTCTTGCATATTCCAGTTTTGCTTTGGTTGTCGTAGCACAAGAACTGGTTTATTGTCCATGAAATAGTATTTCCTCTTCACAATTTCATCTCTGTCCTCTTTCTATTCAAAGCTGACCTTCGCGCAGGTTGGCGATTTCTGCAATTTTGTAATCCTTCCAAATTCTTCTTACAAAACCATCCATAACCTTTAGAGGGGGGTTGGCTCCTAGAACACAGCATATAGCAGCTGCATCCTAGTAATTGCCCATCTCTATGACATCCTCTTTTGTTAGTCTGGCTATCTTAGTTCCATTTAGGTCCTCCCTCTGTACATATTTGAGATCTGACTCAATTATCTCTGTCTTCCCCACTATTTCAGCATAAGTTTTCACTTGTTCACCTTCAGATGTTTGTTTCTTTGTTTCCAGATTCAGCTTTTCCTCCTCATTACATAGTAAAATAGATCTGGAGTTGCACACATCTAGGGTATTTGGTACCAATATTGAATCAGACATAGGAGATGGATTCTTACCCACTGATGATTCTCCAGTGCACGGGGTTTCCAATCCACTCTATAGATTGTTCATCGTATTCGATTTCTTCTTCCTTGGCCGTCCTCCTTCCTCGCTGTCATTGCTCAGAGACGAGAGCTCTCTATCCCCTTGCAGAACACCTTTTCGAGTTTAGATTTAACAGTAGCGCAGAGCTAAGATTCCTTCAAATTCAAATTCATTCAACAATCAAAGATATCTTTTTGTCAAACAATTTAGCTTAAGAAGATTTTATAATTTCAGAGACAATAATCAATCAATAATCATATTTGGACAATTCAACATCAACCCTCAAACAATTTACCACTTATAATATAACTTAAACATTCAACACAAAAACAAGATTTGAAAATAAACATATTTAATATTGGATATCAAATTCATAAATTTTGAAATTAAGCAAATTCAAAATCCTAATTCAGAGAAAATAAAATTGAAAAGTAAAAGGATTGCTCCCTGGAGTTGTCTTCTTCGCATGTCGCTGGCAGCAGATGACGCCTGAAGCTTGCACCATCAGACCAGTCGCCGCCGCCATCCTTTTCTCCGCTCTCTGTTTCCGTGCTCCCCTCTTTTTTCCGTTTCTGTCCCCCTTTTCTTTTAGCCTTTAGATCTCTTTTATAATTAAAAAATCAGAATTATTTGTGTTTTAATTGAAGTAAAACTTCTTGAGAATGTATATGGTACAACCGGATGTACATAGAAATAGGTATATTCGGGTTGTACTCATTGTGAAGTAAAGTAGTACTCATTGTCGCACAAACATAATTATTCATTTTGAAAACGTAGTACTCATTCTAAAATAACGCAGTACTCATTCTAAAATAATGTATCACTCATTTTCACACATTTATTCAATACAGTTATAATATTTATCCACAAATAATGTAGTGTTCATTCTGAATAAAAATAGTACTCATTCTCAAATAACTTAATGCTCATTCTAAAATAAAATAAAACATATACCATAAATAACCTTTTCTATGCAAATAGGGTTTCACCCCCCTCCTCCCAGCTGCTTTCTTTCGACCCGACCCTAACGCCGTCGCCACCTTCTCCTTAGATCTTCCTTCTCCATCGTTTTCTCTTGATTTTCGCCCTATCTTCGCTCCTCCATTGTCTTCCGTCTTCACTGCTCCTCGTCATCACCGCCGGCGCCTTCCGTCTTTCTTCTACGGTGACCCGACCCGGCAAATAGAGGAGCGGCAGTAATTCCGGCGGCTTCAGTTCCATCTTATTCCCTTCTTCAATTAGCCGGTTGTACCTAAAAATAGGTACAACCAGATGTACGATATAATTTGCGAAACTTCTTTGCAGTTGAGTAGGAGAAGTAGTCTTTTGAAATCAATGGCCTACGAGGTGGTTACTTCAAGATGGATCTTGTTGTTGGCAATGTTTTGAAAACCGGACCGGACGTCGACTCGGACGAGGTAGTGGGTCAAGGGTTGACCGGTCGAACCGGTTGAACCGGGGGTCAACGACCCGGTCAACTATGTTGATAATAATATTTTATGATATATTAGATATTTTTAGTTAATAAAATATTTTAATTTATGTTATTATTTCTCCATCTCTTTTTTAATATCCTTATACATATGATATTTCACACCTTCGATTTTTATTTTATTATTTTTATTATTATGAAAAGTTAATACTGAATCTCTAACAAATACTTAAATAATAAGGCGATACTCATATTTTCTAAAATTAAAGACTATATATTTTATTCTTATATACATATGACATTTTAAAGTTAATATTTAGTTGATTAAAATGATTGAAAATAAAAAAATATAGCATATTAAATTATACTCCGTAATTAATAATATTACTTAATTTTTGAAGACAACAATTTTTTAAATATAAAATATACAGAGTATATTTATTTTCAAATAAAAATTAAATTATTCTCAATTTTTAAAACTATTTTAAAAGTTCATAAATACAAATAATTCACACTTGCACAAACTATAAATACATATGATTGATACCTAGATTTTCAACAAAGATTGAGTAGCTCACTTCGATGACAACTTGTACTAGTATACGGGAGGTGCTGGGGTCGATTCCCAGCCACCACTTTCAATTTTTATGTCTAAAAATTTAATAAAATGTAGATTTAAGCCCAAACCCGGGAACCAGATGGGTCGACTCGGGTCACCCGGTTCACCGGGTCCGACAGGTTTGGGCGGGTCAAAAGGGAGCCGGGTTTCTTCAGTGAACCGGACCGGATTTGTTGCCGGTTCGCGAGTCGACCTGTTGGACCGGCCGGTCCGGTCCGGTCTTTAAAACACTGGTTGTTGGATGATTACTTCTCTTTATTTTTTGAGACTTACAGCTGTTGCACATTTAATGGTAATTGTATTTGGAATTTGGTCAAGTGGCCCAATTCCTTCCGTCGTCACATTTCCCCTTGGCATCATGATGCAAGAGATTATGCTCCAAAATATATCTAATATAAATGAGGAATGCTAGGGATACACCATTTGGTGTACCCCATTTGTCCCCCACCCATTTCTCCACCATATAATTTTATTTTATTTTTATTTATTTAATTTTTTTTTATTTTCTTGCCTTTTTTGTGGTGATGGAGGGGGTGGGGGACAAATGGGGTACACCTTTGGTGTACCCCTAGCATTTTTCAATATAAATAGTTGTGTCAATGAGAACAACACTTCAACACAATTATAAATTATAAGTATGCTTAAAATCATGCATTTTATATATAAAATGTAAACAATAGCCTAAAATGTTAAATGTAACAAAGTATGTTTATTTACGTATAAAATGCATATAAAACATCTAAAAAGTATTAAGGAATGAGAGAATAAAATATGACATTTTGTAACTCAACAAAAACTTGTCCTTCTTCAAAGAGCTAAGTGAAAATACTTGAAGGTTCCCTTACCTCAAGTACAACACCAAGTTGAAGGAATTTTAATCAAACATCTTGATTAAAAACAGGGCACGTCAGTTTTCATACAAACTGACCTTGCAAGTCCTATTGTTCGGATCTTGCAGTTGTTGAAGAAGCTTGACCTTGGAGGCATATATATACTGCTGCAGCGACTCAATGTACTTGGTAGTTTGTTTAAATCACTGCGTCGGTTTTCAGGAGAAGAGTGGGATGTGTTTCGCAGATTGTGGTGTTGTGGCTAAAAAAAATGCATTGCGTCGTTTCAAGTTATCATTGATTGGTTTTTTTAACGCACGTTCCTATTTTTACGATTGAAATTGGGCCATTGATTTATCTCCATGACTGCTGGCGACAGAAGAAGGAAGCCGGATCAAAGAAGGAAACTGAATCCCTTTGAGATTCGATTTAGTATCTTTCCTAGCTTGCTTAGTTCTTGTTATAGTAGGAATAGAAATATGATAGGAATAAAAGTTTACTTATATGCTTTACTCTCTCTCCTATATAAAAAGGGTTAGACCTTTCTATTCACAAGACAATTCAATATACAAAATATTTTTCCTCTTATTAATTTTTACGCATATAATATACGTATTATACTTACGTATGTATAATACGCGAATTATAGTCACGTATCCGTATGATTTTCAAAAATACTTTAAAATACACGTATATTTGAAACTATATGTATAATTACGTATAGTACATATGAATTGAATATTTCATTATAAATTTTTGTGTACAACAACAAATATTATTTTGTTCCGAAAAGTATTTTAACAAAATACGAGTAATACTTCATATCAGGTATACATACAATACTCAAACCATCTGAAAAAATATACACTATATCTACGTACATTCTACAAAAAAAATTACACGTTTTTGTCACGATCAAAAAAAGACTTCACCCTTTCCCTTTTTGTATATCTCAAAAATTTATTTTCTTTTTAAAAAGGAACGAGTAACTCACAACTCTGATTTGTTTTTTTCTAAATATATTTAAACTATATAGTTTTTATTTTTAACATCTTTTAACTATGTACGTGAAAGTCAAACAAGGATATTTTTTCAAATAGATTAAACTAGGGTTTACTAGGGTTTGGGACGTCTCCTCATTATAAAAGGAGAGGGACCAATATTACTTTAATCAAGGAATAAAATACAAAACCCTAAACTCTCTCGTCTCTTGCACGGCTTCTTGCCGAGGCGTTCTTCTCTCTTCCCGTATCCCCCGTTCTCAAGCTCGAAGGCGCTTTGAGCCTTCCTGATCCGATACGATACGTATCACTGGTGCTTCCATTGAGTTCCATGGAGTCCGCCACAGTTACTTCCGCTCGGTTCCAATAGTTCCAGGAACAAATTGATGGGCAGATCGCGTCTCAAACTTCGGCCATGCAGACCCTCAACTAGGCCGTTGACAAAATTCAGCGTCAACTGGAGGTGGTGTTGGCTCATGACGATAAGCGGCCATCTTCTTCCGGCGAACCATCATCTCATCGCGGCGAGCCTACCATGGCCAAGCTAAAATTAGACATGCCCAAGTCCGATGGCAGTGATCCCTTGGGTTGGTTATTCAAGGTCCATGAGTATTTTGTTTTTACGGCATCGCAGAAGATGCCCGTCTCCTGGCAGTGTCCCTTATGTTGGAGGGGCCGGTGGTAGATTGGTTTCGTTGGCAGCAACGGAATCGGCTTCTCAAATCATGGTCCGAATTCGTTACTCAGTTCAAGTTGTGCTTCGACCCATTAAACTATATTGATTACTTTGGGGTCTTATCAAAGGTCCACCAGGCAGGCACGGTTTTGGAGTACCAGCAGGAGTTCGAAAAGGTCCTCGTTCATGTCACGGAGGTGGCAGAACATGAGTTGGAGTCCTTTCGGAGTCCTTTGCCTTAGCTCGTGAGTTGGAGGCAAAACATGCCGCATGGGCGTTGTCTGTACTATCCCGTGTGGTCCAGGGGCGCGACCATCCAACCATTAAACCCTATCAGGCTCCCTCCCTCGTTCCCTTACTGCCTCTCCCTGGGCAGAAACAGCAGGCCACTGTCAAGGCTCCACCGACCCCCCTATTTGTCGTTTATCCTTTGCCGAGAAAAAGGATCGTGATGCAAAAGGATTATGTTACAATTGCGACGAGAAGTGGGTGAAGAGCCATCGTTGTGGTCGTTTTTTGTTGCTATTGGAGGATGATGACGACACTCCGGACACCCCAGTGGATGACACGATATTGGCCGCAGATGTGTCTATGTTGCATAGCATGGCCGGGGTTACCGCACCCCGCTCCTTACAGCTTTCAAGTATGATTTCCGGGGTCGTGGTCAGCATACTAATTGACGGGGGCAGTACACACAATTTTATACACCCCTCCGTAGTCGAAAAGTTACAACTTCCAGTGCTGGATATTCCGGTTTTTCGGGTGTACGCCGACAATGGTGCTTCGTTGGTCTGTAGCCGTCAGTGTTGCAATGTCTCGCTCCTCTTACAAGGGACGAGTTTTTCAGTGGATGTTTTTGTTCTCGCCATTCACGGGCCGGACGTGGTCCTTAGCGTCCAATGATTACAATTGCTCAGGAAAGTGACTCACGACTATGCAAACTTAACGATGGAGTTCACCTGGTAGGATTCGTCGGTCGTGTTAAAAGGGGACAGTTTGTCTCCTCGGCCCCTGTCCTTACATCATCTACACAACATTCATGCCGCAAGTGTTTTTTCAGAATTTTTTGAGATCTTGGTATCCCCATGCATGGACACTAACCCGCATGAAGAGATAGCCTGGCCGAAGGATCTGCCGGACACTGTTCGTGGGATATTGCAACACTATGCTTCTGTTTTTGCCCAGCCCTCCGGTCTACCGCCGCGTCGCCTTGGGGACCATCAGATTTTTCTACAGCCGGGTACTAATCCGGTTAATGTTCGTCCGTATCGCTATCCTCAGTTCCAGAAAAATGAGATCGAATGCCTTGTACGGGAGATGTTGGACCAAGGGTTAATTCAACCGAGTCGTAGTCCGTTCTCCTCTCCGGTTCTCTTGGTGAATAAAAAAGACGGGTCGTATCGGTTTTGTGTTGATTATCAGGCCCTCAACGCGGTCACAGTTCCAGACCACTTCCCTATCCCTACGGCCGACGAACTTTTTGATGAGTTGGGGCTGCACAATATTTTACAAATTTAGATTTACGCTCTGGCTACCATCAAATCTGTATGCACGACCGGGATATCTATAAGACGGCGTTTCGCACACACGGGGGCCACTATGAATTCCGAGTTATGCCATTCGGTCTAACCAATGCTCCATCCACGTTCGAGGCGTGCATGAGCCGGTTATTCGCCGCCTACTTACGCCGGTTTGTTATCGTTTTCTTCGATGATATACTTGTTTACAGCCCCTCCTTGGTTGATCATACACGGCATTTGAAGGTTGTTCTCGGCTTGCTCTCTTCTCACCTCTTCTTTGTGAAATTGTCCAAGTGCACTTTTTGCTATTGAATATCTGGACACATCATTACCAATGGGCATCTTCGAGCGGACGACACAAAAATAAAAGCCATGGTCAAATGGCCTTTGCCACAAACCATTCGGCAACTCCGGGGATTTTTGGGTCTCACCGGCTATTATTGCCGTTTCATACATCATTATCCCCATATCGCAGCGCCATTGACGGACCTCCTAAAGAAAGACAGTTTCTCTTGGACCCCGGCGGCCACCACGGCCTTTGGAAACCTCAAGCAGGCCCTTACTTCGACCCCTGTTCTCCGGTTACCCGACTTCACACTTCTCTTCGTGGTGGACACGGATGCTTCGGCGACTGGAATCGGAGCCGTGCTATTACAGGAGGAGCATCCTGTGGCTTATTTTAGTAAGAAACTTGGGCCCAGACGTTTGGCCGCCTCGACTTATCATAAGGAGCTCCACGCAATCGTTGAGGCTGTTTAGAAGTGGCGATAGTATTTCCTCGGCCGGGAGTTCTTAATTCGTACGGATCAAAAGAGTTTGAAGGAGCTATTGCAGAAAGTTATACAAACACCGGACCAGCAGTTTTACGTCCGTAAGTTGTTGGGGTTCCGATTCCGTATCGAGTATAAACTGGGGAAAACTAATTCGGTTGCGGATGCCCTATCTAGACGGCATGAGGAGGAGACACCTGGAAAATTTTTAGCCATTTCCCACCCACTGCATGATATTCTGCAGCAAACTAAGAAGGAAAACCAGACACAACCCGACTTGATCCGCATGCACACGCAATTTCAGCAGGGGCTTCTACAATCCCCCTTTTCGGTGTTCGACGGGTTATTTCGGTATAACCACCGCCTCTGTATTGGCGAATCTTCTCCCTTGCGGCTAGAGCTTCTCAAGGAATATCATGACTCTCGTATCGCTGGCCATACAGGGGTGCACCGCATGTTCCAGCGGCTGGCCACTTCTTTTTATTGGCCTCGTATGAGTGCCCAGGTCAGGGAGTACAACGTAGCATGTTCGGTCTGCCAACATACCAAATTTTCAACCCAACCGCCGGCGGGCCTATTGGAGCCGTTACCTATTCCGGAGCGTGTTTGGGAGGATATAAGTATGGACTTTATTACGGGTCTTCCGGTGTCCCGTGGCTTTTCGGTGATTTTTGTTGTTGTTGATCGTCTCACTAAATACGCCCACTTCGGACCTTTGCCAGGGGATTTCGATGCACACCGCATCGCATTCTTGTTCACGGACATGGTTCTCGAACTCCATGGTTTCCCACGTACTATAATCTCCGATCAAGACCGCATCTTCCTCAGTACTTTCTGGCGGGAGCTGCATACACTAAGTGGGACGACATTGAAGCATAGCTCAACTTTTCACCCTCAAACTGATGGCCAAACGGAGGTCATCAATCGCACTCTGGAGCAATACTTACGGGCATTCACTCATGCCCGACCCAACCGCTGGCGGTTTTGTTGCCATGGGCGGAGTACTCTCTTAACACCAGCTTCCATTCGAGCCTTCAAATAACACCATTCCAAGTAGTATATGGGCGACCGCCATCGGATTTGGTCCCGTACCGTAAGGGCAGCAGCAAGGTACAGGAGGTGGATGCCATGTTGGTTGAACGTGATGAGCTTCTACGGAAGTTACGGGCAAACCTGGGGGCTGCCCAAGCCAGGATGAAGGCAATAGCAGACTCCAAACGGCGAGATGTGGAATTCCAAATCGGTGATCAAGTTCTATTGCGCCTAAAACCGTACAGACAGCACTCATTACTTCGCCGTTCGTCTCAAAAATTGGCACTTCGGTTTTATGGGCCTTACGAAGTGGTGGAACGTATAGGCCGCGTGGCTTATTGTCTCAAACTACCGGACAATGCTTGTATTCATCCGGTTTTTCATGTGTCCGTCCTTCGACCATTTCGGGGGACCAATGACCCCATACCAGTACAAAAATTGCCGGACGAATTGGTGGATGGAAGGCCACCCTCCCACCCCGTTCAGATTCATGCAGTTCGTACAGTGCTACACCGTGGGGAATCCAAGGAGCAATATCTCGTCAGTTGGAGCGACGGCACTTTGGACGACGCCACTTAGGAGCCAGCCGAAGCTATTCGTCAACATTATCCTCATCTACACCTTGAGGACAAGGTGAGTTCTGAAGGCGGGGAGAGTGTTATGGACTCGAGAGTCGAGGATGCCAGTATCCGTAACAGTGAACGGGTGTGGCAAGCACCGGGGTGGCAGCGAGACTTCGAGATGGATTAGCTTATTTTATTTAATTATTCATTTACATCTTTTATTCATTAATGTATTTAGTTTTTGTTAGGTGAGCAAATTATAAGCTCCTTCGAGGGTTTCTTTACGGTTCTTTACCTCGTCGCTTTTCTTGAACCGTCAGGATAGATAACGTAGATTAAACTAGGGTTTACTAGGGTTTGGGACGCCTCCTCATTATAAAAGGAGAGGGACCAATATTACTTTAATCAAGGAATAAAATACAAAACCCTAAACTCTCTCGTCTCTTGCACGGCTTCCTGCCGACGCATTCTTCTCTCTTCCCGTATCCCCCGTTCTCAAGCTCGAAGGCCCTTTGAGCCTTCCTGATCCGATACGATACGTATCATAATAATCTACATATCACATCTTACTTTTACACATCACATCAAGGGTATTTTTGGAAAGTCAACACAAAAATATCCTTCCCTTAAATCCTCAAAAAGTCAAAAACGGGAGTTTATTTAGGGACGGAGGGAGTATATAATAGATGTAAACCCGTACGTGTATATATATGATTAAACTTGATTATTACATTATTACACAATGCATGCATATATATCATCCCAATCAATTGTAACTAATGAAAGGAGATCGATCTCGAAATAAAGAAAAAAAGAAACAGAAATGTACTTTTTCCGTCCCAAAAAGTTTTTCCTGTTTCATTTTTTGCGCATCTCATAAAACACTTCTACCGACATCTAAAATACCTAAAATTTACAACCTTTCTTCTTTATTGTAGGTAGAAGTTGTTTTGAAATTTTTTCGGCATTCATAGCGGGATATAAGTGTTTTTTGGGATGCGCAAAAAATTAAACATGAAAGAGTTTTTGAGACGGAGGGAGTAAAAGATACTAGAAAATTTAAAATACATCGGACAAATCTAACTAAGGATGCTTGTTGTTATTGTGAAGCTTTAAGGTAGCAAGTACAACAAGCAAGAGAAACAAGGTGGCACCGAGGAGCGAAACCGTTATAGCGCTGCCGACTTTTGCGCAAAAGATTCCGAAGACGTTGCACACCTTGTTCCACCGCAAATGGGAGTTGCCATAGAAGCCCAAAAGGCCAACGGCGGTGGTGGCTCCGACGCCGGAAAAGAGGGCCACCACCATTAGTAGGTCAAATAGGAGGAGCATCAAGGCGGCCGATGACGTGGTTGTGCGACCGCTATTTTGTCCCCTATTATTATCTACCCATATTATGGCCAAAGAGACGGCCGCGTACCCACATGCAATGCCATTCACCACCACGAAGTACCTTCAAACATTTAAATTGTACATGACCAGTCAGGTGAGGCAAATAATAAACACGATCATCGTTTTTTTGTGTCCTTTCCTACTTAGCTTCCCGTCTTCCACTACATTTTTTACACGATTGCCAGAGAAATTAAATTGTCATTGATATGATATTCATTAAGTATAAGTTAAAATTCCTAAAATAAAGTTATCACAATGTTCAAAAACAATGTTTAAACTTTTATCTAACTTTCCTTTATAATTACCTATAAAAAACTTAAAATTTACTCCCCCCAAACATTAATTCTCTCCTGTGTATCGCTTTCAACCATATATTTCTACTTGAAATATTTGCACTAAATAGCAGTAAAATATACTCCCTCCGTCCCAAAAAGAATGGGACGGTTTGACTTTTTGGAAAATTAAGGGAGAGATATTTTAGTATTGACTTTCCAAAAATACCCTTGATGTGATGGGTAAAAGTAGGATGTGATGGGTAGATTATTAGAAAAAAAGTATGATGTGATAGGTAGGGTATGAAAAAGTAAGGGGTAAAAGTGGTTTTTTAATAGAAATGTAACGAACTTTACGGGACGCAGTTTTTTTCTAAACGTAACAAACTTTTTGGGACGGAGGGAGTATGTCATTTCCTAATGTATGACTTAAACTTTTTTATTCTCTAAATAACACTAAATAATGTCCAGAAGAAGAAATAATGTCTAGTGATGGTGAATATTTACTTGAATAATGACTAATGGATCATGACTAAAAAGTGCTACATTGTGAAATAAAAACATATGATACTATTTAGAAAAAGTTATTATGTTTTAATGCTATTTCAGAAAATTCCTTTTTTTACTTTAGTTAAACTATGTATCAAGTAAACTATGTATCAAGTAAAACCGAGAGCCTTTTTTGGTACAGAGGGAGTACTGTTGCATTTACATGGATAATAATCACATCATTTATATCGTTAAAAAAATCACATCATGTATGATAAATTGATAAATGAATTACGCTTTGTTTGACAGCAACATTAAAGTTTAACGTTTGCATTTGAAAAAAACTATCTAACAATAACATTTAGCGACACATGCAAGAGGGACACTTTAAAAAGAAATGAAATGTGTTGAGCGTTGCACAGCTGGGACACGATATCACATTTAAGAACGTAACAACCAAAATAATAAAGGGAGATAGAGTAGGTTTCAATGCCAATTGAACTTAATTGATGCATATGCAGCCAAAATGCATTGTTGACAGTTGAGCTAATACCAACTTGTTTACGACATGGAGTACTCCGTATTAGGCCAAACTATTTCCTTTTGGGGACACCACGCCACGCCATATATTTATATTTAAATTATTACCATATATTTCTCATTATTTTCTTGAATCCCTTACGTGTGAGAATGATGGGAGCTACCTCTTCTTATCTATTAAAAACCATTATTTTAAATTAAAAATGGGAATGATGATATATAGCAGGTTAAACACTTTAATTTAGTTTAATATATACTCTCGGTCTCTTGAATAATAATCTTTATCCTATCATTTTTTGAACTTTTCAAAATAATCTTAACTTTCCTTCTTTTTTTTTAAAAAAAAAAAAATTATATGGCTTGTCATCAAATTTTAAAAGCTCATTTTGTTTACTTTTCAGAATTTTATCTTAAGTACGTGTTTGTCTCATTTTGACTTTTATTGTCAAAATCGACAAAACTTGACCACTAGTTAATTAAAATTGATATTAGATATTGGTACAAAAATAATATTACTAGACCTGTTTATAAAATATTTTCAAAATAATATTTTATCAAACTAATATACTATACAATTTTAATTATATATATATGTGTGTGTGTTTAAAATTAATTAATTGACTACAAAAAATAAAAAAATACATAAATTCTTAGTACTTATATTGATAATTTAATTTATGAGCTGTATAAACGTGCAGAGTATGGCCAGTTAATTGAGAGATAGACTGACTCAGGATCGAATGTGGCGAACGAGATGCGACTGACTTTTGCGGTTGGTTCACAAACCCCTCTCTCAAACATAAAACCAAAAATAAGGGAGAGATATACTTCTTCCATCCCAAAATGATATTCTCATTTTGACTATTAAGAAATTTAAAAGAGGGATATTTTTTTATTGACATAATATACTCCCTCCGTCCCATAAAGTGTTACCCATTTTGACTAAAGTTGAAATTAAGGGAGGGATAATTTTGTGTTGACTTTCCAAAAATACCCTTGATGTGATGGGTAAAAGTAGGATGTGATGTGTAGATTATTAGGAAAAAGGTATGATGTGATAGGTAGGGTTTGAAAAAGTAAGGGGTAAAAGTGGTTTTTTAATATAAATGGGTAAAGGATTGTGGGACACAACTTTTTTGAAACGTGTAAATCTTTTTGGGACGGAGGGAGTACTTGATATAATGAGTAAAAATAAGATGTTATATGTAGATTATTAGTAAAAAAAGATATGATGTGATATGTAAATTAAAAATTAGTAGGGGAAAATGTAGTCATTTAATAGAAACGAGAATGATTTTGTGGGATAAGTAAAAAAGTAAGGGAAAGATGTTTTTGGGACGGTAGGAGTATATAATGTGAGACTCACCAAAAACCTTGTGCTCCAACGTTATGATGATAGAATGGCTATTTCATATGAGAGGTCATATATAGTTTCCATTCCCAATGAGGTGATAACTTTACATGTTTAATATGTTGAAAAGAAATGAATAGATACTACTCCCTCCGTTTCTTAAAACGGTTCTTGTTTTGACTTTGGGACAAAATAAAGAAAGTGTAATTTTAGTTGACTTTCCAATTTTACCCCTGATGTGATGGGTAAAAGTAAGATGTGATAGTTTAATTATTAGTGAAAAAGTATGATGTGATAGGTAGGGTATGTAAAAATAGGGGTAAAAGTGGTTTTTTATAGAAAAAGGAAGTGTTTTAAGGAAAACAAAAAAATGAAAGAGGAAGAGTTTTAAGAAACGGAGGGAGTATATTATCCCTCCCTGAAAACGTTTCTCTTTTCTTTTTTCATCCGTCCCAAAAAACATTTCTTATTTCTATTAAAAAGTCACTTTTATCCCTTTACTTTTTCATACCCTACCTATCACATCATATTTTTTTCTAATAATCTACTCATCAAATCCTACATTAACCCATCACATCAAAGGACATTTTTTGAAAATTCAATACCAAAATACACTCCCCTTAAATATGAATAATTCACATAAATACTCTAAGAAATTTGTGATTTTACGTTAATACTCCGAAATTATATAATTACACCACTGCTCTAAAAAATTACTCAATTTTACACCAATACTAGTGTCTGTGTCCTAATGTATCTATTTAGTTTAACCTTTTCTCAACCTAGTGATCGAAGAAAAAAGAGTCAATATTCAGTCACTGAGATTCAAAGTTGTGACTTCTTATCTGGGAAAGTCACGTTGATGATTATGGATAACAAGGCCATTGGCATGCTCGATACTTTACAAAGTCTATACATAGAGTATATATAAGAGGTGATGTGCAATTTTGTGCATACCAAATGTGGGCCTTATCATATGTTTTATGAGTCTTTAGTTGGATTTCTTTAATGTTACAAGCTAGCTAGGTCCAATTCATGTAAAATGATTATGCATTAACGTTCATAAAATGGGCGTAACGAGCACAAAACAATTATATGGAGCAATATATTGCAGCTAATTAAAGAGTAGTAATTAATCAATACTTACACGAAGGCGGACATGTATTTCCACTTGGCCGTGACCGGAATACTCACCGGCGGAAGTGTGGGGAAAACCTGCATGGATACCTCCTTACTCTGCTTGTCCAACCCAAGAACTAGCGCCGCCGCAAGGGTGTTGGCAAAGGCCAGAAGCCTCAAAGAGAAGTCCGCCCACCTTATACCTTGCCTCTTCGCCGCCACCGCTGCCCCTTTCTCTTTGCCGCCGACGACCTCCATTCTCTTGTCTGGCGAGCTTCCTTCCACAGATTATTGTTGCTAATTGGATGAAGAAAAAAGTACTGGAAGGAAATTAAAATAGGCTTATTATTATTTGGAGGATCGATGAAGAAAGAAGGAAGTGCGGGAGTTTATATACAAATACGTACACAAGTGGCATGTGGTCTAAAGTATTTAAGTTGTGGACCAAGTGACCAACAACTTATCTCTCTATTTTAAGAGCAACCAATTTTAGCTGAGCAATCAAAGATATATACAACCGGGCACAAGTCAGGAATTTGAATGGTAATGGGTTATGTTTACCATTACCAAGCAAATACATCATCACATTATAGTAAGAAAACATTTAATTACTCCGCGCGTCCAATTCTTTTCTCCATTTAACTTTTATATTTTGATTACAAATTAGGAAAAAAAATATACTACCTCCGTCTTGAAAAAAAATTGTTTTGATTTCTTTTAAATCAAATGCACTCCTTGATTACAAATTCTAAAAAAAATAAACTTACTTAGTTACAATATAAACTTAATATAATTGAGTTTATTAGAATATAGTTTTGATATATCAAATTTTTATAAATTTTATTCATTTGAATTATATTTAATTTGTGTTGGGAAAATGGTAGATAACGCGAATTGATATATCAAATTTTTATAACTTTTATTCATTTGAATTATACTCCGGGGTATTTAATTTGTGTTGGGAAAATGGTAGACAACGCGAATTAATCTTTTAGCACTTTCATATTGATTATTTTGGGCGTTCAATCCAAAAATCAATCCGATAAAACTCAAATAATTGATCAAGAACAAGTATGAATTGTGATGAACTTTCGAACTCTATGTATTTCGACCAAACTCTGTCGGGGTTTTATAGAAGCAGAGAGAAGAGCTGTCTAGTCGTGTCTTTTATTCTAAACTTTTCCTATGATCGCGCGAAACTTAGAAGTGGCGACTTTTTGGAAATTTGTTTATACCCAAATTCAAAAAATTTAAAATTCAAGAGAATTTTTAACACAACATCTCGAACCCAGCTAGGGGCCATGCCCCCTGGATTCCGCAGGAGCTGCGCCCCTTGAACCCTGCTCGGGGGCACTGCCCCTCGAACCCCTGCTGCAAAAAATGTGGGCAAATAGCACTTTTAGACAAGTTCGGCTAATGAATAAATTAGCCACTTATATAATGTGGCTAATGCTTTGTTTTGCCACATTTATATGTACTTTTAATTAAATATTGACGCATACAAAAATACTAACATTTTTTATATTTTAAATTTATAAAAAGCCTATGTGAGACTCGAACCCACATCTCTGTGCACTTTAGTACACGACACTCTACCATTGAGCTAATAGGCTAAGAAAAGTAGTTCAACTAGTATAATAAACATTGCTATTATATGTTAAGAAAGCATCTCAAAGTCATACTGCCTAGAGAGTGACTTCTTAAAAGTCCTCATCATCTCTAATGAAAAGATTAATCAAAATACTCTATTTTAAAAGAGGGCAAAAAGCATGAGCTAGAGATACGGTCGAGACCATAATACAGACTGCAGGGTTTGATGCTACTAAACACTTTAAAAAGAGAAAATGTCCTAAAAGTCAATCTAAAAAACATATCTATGAGGAACATGAAAGCTTACAAGAAGCCTAAATTCTACAGTGTAACAATCTGTGGCATTCACTATGCAAGTTGTTTCTCCGTGTAACAATCTGTGGCATTCACTAGCCACATTTTAGATTAACCTAAATTGCAACCAGCATCCCTAACGCCATGGTATTCCTAAGTGAGGATGATTAGCACATGATCTCCACTAAAACCCTGCAAAGGTTGACAAAATCTCTTTAAGAACCACTATTTACTGTCAAAGTTTTTTTGCAATAGTCCTTAGTTGGCACCTAAAAGTTCAAAACCAATTGATTAAGAAAACAATTCACAACATGATCCAAGTATAGTTTTTTTATTATATTTCTTTCATATTGTATCCTCTTTGAAGTCAATATTTAGCTCCAATGAGTCATCCAACTTCATGTAAGCAATGACTCTAAGAGAGTGAATTTCATAGTCAGCACATAACACATATCAATCTAAATAACGGAAGAACTCTATAAAAAATACTACTCCCTCCGTTTGCAAAAAGACTTCCCATTTTGATTTAGGGAAAAAATAAAGAAGTGTTAAATTATAGCTGATTTCCAATTTTGCCTCTGATGTGATGGGTAAAAGTAAGATGTGATGGATAGATTATTAGAGAAAAAGTATGATGTGATAGGTAGGGTATGAAAAAGTAATGGTAAAAGTGGTTTTTTAATAGAAAAGGGAAGTGTTTTGTTGGAAGTGGAAAAAATGAAAGAGGAAGTGTTTTTGAGAACGGAGGGAGTAATAAAAAACAGAATACAACTAAAAGGGAAAAAGTATACCATACAGTTTATAACAAACCTATCACAGGGAAAATGATTTCTGCCTATTTCTGCAATGCATCTTCAGTTCTTTTATCAAAAGATCAAGTGTCTGGAATCTTTTCTGACTTCTTAGAGATACTATCTGCAAAACAACAAAAGAATTTACTTGTCACATGGAAAAAGATAACCAAAGACAGAGATCAAAGTGAAAGTTTATCAACCTAACCTTTCCCTATGGTACACCATATATAGTATGGATTAGAACAAAAGATTCTAGCACAGTAGTAAAGTCATTAGTCCAGTCCTGATAAAACAACACTTAAAAGGTTTTCCAATAACATTCATCAAATAGCTCCAAATAGAAGAGAGTAAAAAAACTTAACTAGATGGAATATTAAATACCCAGGTGATAAGTTTTCCATCAAAGAAATACTCATCTTTTGTACTCCAATTGTTCTTCTGAAGCATACTTCTTCCTTATCAACCTGTCCATATATAATTTTGTAAATATTTAGGGAAAAAGTAACATATAATGGGTATTATAAAGATTCATCTTCTCTTATTGTGTTATCTAAATGAAACATTTCATAGTCAAAAATTTCCTTCATGACTTTTTTGCTTGAATCCTACACACACAAACAAAATTTTAAATCTCTTCTACCTAAACATGTGTGCAATTCCATTATGTGGAACCACTAATATAGTAAAATGGATGCACAACATTAATCTTTAAAAATCTGGGAACATTTTTGCAACTTCCAAATAGATTTTTGTCCATATCAACATGCATTCACATTAGAAATTGGTTCAATTTAAAGTATGAGAAATAGTTATTGCTGGAATTTAGTGGCTTAACCAATACAAAGAAAACATTATGGCAATTAACTTACATGAACTGTATAGAGAAAATAATACATTAAGTTACAAATTGAAAGTTCATGTATTCACATGGAACAAACTTAAATATATTGCCACACTTAAGAATAGATTCATATTAGCCTTCAAATATTAAATTAAATACAAAACAATAAAATCTTGCTTAAATCTTACACATGACAAATAGGGAATAACACGCAATTGCACAATCAAGGAATAAAAAATACGAAATCAAAACAAGACTGAAATGAATAATTTAATAGGATTATAGATAATTAAAGATCTGTCTAATCCCTAAAACATACATCATATTACTAAAAACTGGACAATAAACACGAAATCAATGCTTAAAGTTAGAGAAAACTGGATAACAACTATGGGTCTGGAAATTATTACCTTGAATCTTGAAAACACCATCGGATGTAAGACTATTCTCTATTTGGCTTTGTTTCTCTCGCTGGTCATAGCTCGTGGTAGCTTTTAAAAACTATCACTCTTTCAATTCCTGCTCTGTCGCTGCATCTGCTCACTCTGTGCCTGGGAGATCCATGGGCAGGGGCTAGGGTTCACTAAAAGTGTACCCCAAACATCCCCACCCCCTCCATCACTATACAAAAAGGCAAGAAAATTTTAAAAAAAATTAAAAAATAAAAAGAAAATAAAATGAATGCAAGTGGTGTACGTTTGGGTACACCTTAAAGGTGTACCCCTAGCATATCCCATTTTTGAGCAATGCTAGGAGTACACCAAAAGGTGTACCCCATTTGTCCCCCACCCCTTTATCCACCATTCAATTTTATTTTATTTTTATTTATTTAATTTTGTTTTAGTTTCTTGCCTTTTTGTGTGGTGATGGAGAGGGTGGGGGACAAATAGGATACACCTTTGGTGTACCTCTAGCATTTTTCCCCATTTTTATATTGTCTATCTGCGTTAAGGGTTGAGTAAATTTGATATACGGAGTACTAATTGTAAATTTACAGCGTATATGATGTGCACGGATTACTTATCCAAAGTGGGAAGTGATTAATTTATGATTACCGCATTTGTAACTGTGGGGCAGTAAAATACACATTTATTATTTACTACATTTACCTATGTGCGGCAAAATAAGTACAACAAAAAAACAGTTTTTCTTGTAGTGTTAATACATTACACTTTTCAAATATTCAAATATCAGGGTATCTCTAAGAATTGAACCCTTAGTATTCATTTGAATACATGGAGATAATATATACTTTGTATCCTAATCCTTCATAAGTATTTCAAAGCAAAGTCCGATCCCCACTTCTTAATGCGGTTAAACTTCAAGCTCATATAGGTAGCTCTTTTATTCTTGCACTTGCATATGTAATTTTTCAAAGGAACTATTAAGAAGACATACTTCAACTTTTTACTTAATGTGTCCAATCCCTAGATGTTAAGATTTCCCACATTGAATTTTGCATGCATCCAATGTCATATAATTAGATGGGAATTGAGAATTTTAGCATGACAAATTTAGATAGACTTCATACCGTGCATGATGAGCTCGATCACGAACCTATGTTGTGTTTCACACCTAAGTGTCTATCCTTCCTATTGTAAACTTGACTATAAGCCTTAGCCAAAGTGGCTTCACTATCACACTTGATAGATATGGGAGATATTGGTTTTGGCCACAATGGAATCTCATTTATCAATTTTCTTAACCATTCAGCTTCTTTACCAGCTGCTGCAAGAGCCACAAACTTAGACTCCATTGTAGAGTTAGTTATGCAAGTTTGTTTCTTTGATGTCTAACCAATTGCACCTCCCCCGAGAAAGAATATGCATCAACTTCTGGAAGAATGATCTTCCATATTACTCCCTCCGTCCTATATCTTTCTTCCCGTTGCGCAAAACGAAGAAAAATCCCAAGTTTTTTCAATCTATTTTATTTAAATATTGGTATAGAAATAAAAAATAAAACATACATATTTAAAAACTACATCAAAAGTTCCACAAAACAAGTGGTGACAAGAATATTTTATTTTATCATATAGGCCATGAAAAAACACAAATAAATATAAATTCCCGTGAAGTTGGAATAGTGCTCTAGGAAGAAAGTTTTAGGACGGAGGGAGTATTAGTTATCCAACTTGCATCCGAGTATCCTTCTAAAACTGAAGGAAAATCAGTGCAAGTTAAACCATAATTCATGGTTCCCTTCAAGTATCTAAATACTCGGTTAGCAGTTTGCCAATGATGCAAACTAGGATTGCTAGTATACCTACTAAGCTTTCCAACAACATATGTTATGTCAGGCCTAGTACTAATCATAGCATATATCAAGCATTCAATAGTTTTTGAGTACTCAAGTTGAGATACTGCAACACCTTTATTAGGTAAGAGCTTCAGATTTGGATCAATAAATATGAGAACTCACCAGAGAACAATCATTGAAGTTAATTTTTTTTCAAAATCTTCTCAATATAATGTGATTGAGAAAAAGAGATCTCATTATTCTCATGCTTGATCCTTATAACTAGGATCACCTCAGCCTCCCCCATGTCTTTCATGGCAAACCTAGAGGACAATTTTTTTTGTGTTATTAACTTTATTTTGGTTTGTACCAAATATTATTAACATGTCATCTACTTGTAAGCGAATGATAACTCCTTGTCTAGAAGTATCAAACCTTCTATATACGCACTTATCTACTTGCTTTAATTCCAAACCATTTGATAAAATTACATCATCAAATTTTTGATGACGACATTGTTTTGGTGCTTGCTTTAGACCATAAAGAGATTTCATCATCTTAGAAACCTTCTTTCATTTACAGGCATGACAAAACCTTCAGGCTGTTATCTATATCTCTTTATCCAATACACCATTTAAGATTGCAGGTTTTACAACCATTTGTTGAATTACCAGGATGTGTATAGTTGCAAGAGCTAATAACAACCTAATTGTTGAAATTCTAACAACAGGTGCATATGTATCAACGAAATCTATACCTTCTTTTTTCTAAAGCCTTGGATAACTAATCTGGCTTTAAACTTATCTATGCTTCCATCAACCTTCATTTTCCTTTTGAAGATCCATTTGCATACTAGAGGCTTGCATCTAGGAAGTAAATTAGTCAATTTCCATGTATTATTCTACATGATGGAGTCAATATCATCTTGTATTGCTTCTTCCCAGAAAACAACATCCCTTGAAGCCATAGTTTCACTAAGAGTCTTTGGATCTTCCTCAATATTGAAGCAATATCAATATTGAAATTCAATCTCATTTCTTGATCCTTCAATCAAGTAAATTTGAAAATCGTTACCAAAAGACTTAGCTTTTCTTGTTCCTGTATTTTTCCTAGCTAATTTCAAAGTTTGTGGAAGGTACATTTTGGAAACCTTCAAACTATGAGTCATATCCTTTGGTCTGGATATAAAAGTAAACCTTTCTTCATAAAAACATCATCTCCTGAATTTATAACTGTATTTACAAATGCAAAGTCATTGAGTTCTATAATATAGAACCTATAGGCCATAGAATGCATAACATATCCAATGAAGATGCAGTCTATACTTTTTTCACCCAAAGTTTTCTTCTTAGGTTCTGAAAGTCTTACAACAACCTTACATCCCTAAACTTTAAGATAACTCAAGTTTGGTGGTTTTTGTACCGGAGTTCATTTGGGGTTGTTTTCATCTTTTAATTAGGAACTCTATTCGATAAATAACAGGTTTTTAACATTGCCACACCCCAAAATCCTTCTCTTAATCCTGAATAAGACAACATGGAATTAACCATTTCCTTGAAGGTCCTATTCTTCCTTTCTGCAACACCACTTTGTTGTGGTGTGTAAGGTGTAGTAATTTGATGTATTATACCACTAGATTATTGGAAATATACTGGATCATAATACTCACCTCTTTGATCTGTTCGAAGAATCTTAATCAAACTACTTTGATATAGCTCTACCTCTTGCATGTAAATTTTAAATTTATCAAGAGCTTCTTCTTTTGCATGTTGTGTAACGCCCTACAGCCTGGCCTTTTAGTATAAATTAATTTATTTAATTAATTATTAATACGGACCAGAGTTGGGAAAAATAAAATTCTTTAGAAAAATTATTTGATCACATCATAATACTAGTTTTGACTATCTGATTCAAAAACGCAAATGGATCTCGATTCGGACAAGTTCGGGGAAAAAGCGTGTACCGTTCAGGTCACTTTTGATTTATGGGGCAGCATTGGAAACTCCACCCCCTTAACTTCTTATTTACACAGTCCATTCCCACTCCCCTTCTCACATTCACTCCTTCATTATTCCTCTCCCTTAATAACCACACACTCTCTCTCTCCCTCACCTTGTTTTCTCCATCTCAAACCATCCATCTCCTCTTCTCTCCTTTGGCACACGGAAGAACAGCAGGAGCGGCGGCATGGAGGACCCCGGGAGTAGAGAGGAAGGAGAAGAAGGAAACCAGTCCCTTGTACCTTCGTGAGACGACGTGGTGCCGTTCATAGCACCGTTCGTACCATTTTCTTCGTCGATCAACCGTTCGTTCAAGAGGTGAGTACGTTGCCCCTCTAGCTTTAGAATTTATAGGTATATTCAATATAGTTACATTCATAAGATTACTTGGCATAACTTACGTTGAATCCATGTGATCGTAGTTTTCTCATGATAAGGACTTTGGCAAGAAACTCGTTAAAAGAAACCATCTAGAAATCTGTTGAAGTCAATAGGTGCTACCCATTTAGATATATATTTGTTTGTAACCTTTGATATTCATTATAGTCTTTCAAAGGATTGAACGTAATTAGGAAGACCAAAACAATAACCCGAGTGTTGTGATAATCAATTATCAGGTTTTGATAATTGATTATCTGGTCACGCTGAATTTTCTTGTTTGGTAGCAAAGCTTGATAATCAATTATCACCCAGTGATACTATCAGACTCTGCTGGACTTTGAGCTCAGAAAGTGCCTAACTTGATAATCAATTATCACAAAGTGATAATCGACTATCAGGTGATGCGGAACCTTGGGATCAAAAATTGTCAAGCTTGATAATTGATTATCAACACTGGATAATCGACTATCAGCTAGTCCAGATCCCAACTAAGGATAATTGTAACGCACCGAAAATAGGCCTATCAGAATTAATTAATTGATAATTAAATCATTATTGAGAAGGACCCAAAAATAAGTGATCTATAAAGTTTGTCAATAAATAATAAAAATAATACCCTTATGTAGAGTTTGACTGTCTGATCCGAACGGTTCAATCGGATTTCAATTCAGAGAAAGTTGGACCAAAAAGTGTACCCCGACTGGGACCAAATTAGTCCCAATCAGGGACTTGCATTTGGAATCGGAGAAGTATCGCTGCCCGCTCCACTAGCCGCCCGAATAGGAAACAAGACATCATCCTTGGCAGCATCCTTCACCATTTTCCAATATAAGGACCACCTCCATTCCTTCAATTACTCACCATTTCTCACAATCTTTCTATCTATTCTGTTGCTGGGAGTGAGGAGAATGCAGTGGTGCTGTGATATTAGTGTGAGGTCGCCGGAGTTGAGAGATATCATCGCCGGAAGTTTCGCCGGAAAATCCTCAAAACCTTTATTAAGCTTCAAGGTAAGCTCGTAAATATATCTAATGACTAGAATGTTCATATAGGTTGTTTCTACGTTCATAAATGGTCGTTTGGTTGAGTTTTGTGTTTGACATGCTTGAATAACCAAGAATCACAAACCATAAAATTGTTGTTAAAACTATGAATTAATAATACCAAAATGATCTATGAACCTTGGAGAACATCTCTATATAGTTTAATTGAAGTTCGGTGATTAAAAATGGTATTTCCAAAAAATGGACTGAAGGTTGAAGAAGATTAACAGTGGCTGAAAGTCAAAAGGGTGGATCAATCCACCCCATTGGATCGATCCCCTGGGAAGTTTTTTTAGAGTTTGGATCGATCCAGACTATTGGATCGATCCCCAAAAATTGTGCTCCGAAAATCTTTCTGAAAATGTTAATTTTGAGCTCCGAAATCCTATCTTTGATACCAATTGATTATGATCATTATAAGGATGATTTTTCACAACAAAAATGATGATTTTGAAAAATAAAACCTTATTTGATGCATGACGGAAAGTTAGGGTGTTAACACTCGAAACTAGGCCGCTATTTGCCATTGGATGTTATGTTGGTTGATGATTATGATGAATGATTATTATGGATGATTATGAATGATGAATCCACTGATTAAAATGATTATTAATGATTGAACCATGATTAAAATGGATACATTGAAGATTACGAAATAATTTGTATTGTTAAGAATATCTAAAAGAACTCTAGGATATACCCATTTGGAAATTAATGATGAACTATTAAGTATATCAAGAAAAACTCTAAGATATATCCATATTGATGTTGGTTTCTAATACCATCTAGAAGACCTCCAATATAGATTAGAAATAGGCCTTGCGGGTATAACTATAAATATTCGGTGGCCTAGGTAAAAACGTATATACTGGATCTGCAAACCAAACTTGAGGATCACTCGTTTGGGGATACCACCCAACCCGACAGTGAGCATTCCGCTGCTCGGTTTCTGGTTGACCTTAAGCGAAGGTAAGTTTATGATTTGAAAAACCTTTTTGAAAATTGTATCTTAAACTAGGCCTAGCTTTAGGATTGGATAAAAATACCTTAGACTAGAATATAGTTTAAGAATTGGTTAGACTAAGAATTGGTTAGAATATAGTTTAAGAATTCGTTTAAGAGTTGATAAACATTAAAAAGATTGGCCTTAGACTATGAGCAGTGGTACTACTCGTAACGCCGAGCGGCGTTAGTGGCATTTTCACGGCCCGGGGGCGTTAAACACCAGCCCCCTGGGGCTTCACCGCGGCGTCACAGCACCCGCGTCATTCGTTTGACGCTTTAATCCCCCCCTAACGGCTAATATAGCCGTTGAAAGCAAAAAAAGAAAAAACTAATTAGTTTTTTTCTAAATTTCAAACTTCTCCTCCTCCCATTCTCACACCTTCAATCTTCTTCAATCTTCTTCACATATCCTTCAATTCTCCAATTCTCCAACTCTCTTTTGAACATGAATCCTTCTGGCTCCGGCTTCTTCCCCGATGATCTCGAGCCTCACGAGCACGTGATGTGGTATTTCCAACAATTCGCGCACCAATTCGGGAGTAATCTGCCGATGTTCGAGACGCAACAATCGGGGTACGTCGAGCGAGAGTCGATTCCGGAGACTCAACCGGGGTAAATCAAGGCCAAATATAATTTACCTTAGTTTTTTTATTAAGGTATCTTTTTTATTATTGTCGCTTTTTTTTAAAATTTAATAAATGTAATTTTTTAAATTATTTTCGTTTCAATTTCTTTAAATTTAATGAATGTATTTTTTTAATTATTCTTGTTTCAATATAATTAAATAATAAAATAATTAAATTTTATTAATTTAGTTTTGGAGGATGTATATTTAAAAATGTAAAAAATGAAAGTTTGAAGACCCAGTTTGAAGCCCTGGGGCTTCAAACCCATGTCCATTGAATTTGTGATCTAAGTTAAAGCTGACGTGGCAGAGAGAGAAATTTTGAAGCCCCGGTTTGAAGCCCCGGGGCTTCACGGGTATTTCCAGTGCTCTAAGAATAGTTTAAGGATATTGTTGAATGACAAATGATGAATATTGTATGATAATGTTGAATATTGGATGATGAAAATTGAATATTGATTATTGAACATCTGAAATGATTTGATTACGAATTGAGTTTCAATTTATATGGATGTTCGTCGCATTAGATATGCTTACTCAGCTTAAACACTAAGCGTGTAGTATGTTTTATTTGCTACACGCAGGTAAACAAAAAAATGAAGCAATGATTTCTTGGAGGTAGTAGGAGCAAGATGGTCGGAATGGATGTGTGGATTTGAATTATTGTTTGAAAAGCTATGTTTGTAATTGTGATTTATTGAGCTTCCGCAACTTTAAATACTCCATTAATATTCCAAATATATTATTATGAAATAAAGTTTTAAATGTTTGAGATATTTTGAATATTTTACGAATACCAAGTTTATACTTTAGTCCGAAAGGAGGCTGCAGACTTGGACGGATTAGGGTGTTAGAATTTTGTATCAGAGCAAATGGTTTTAAACCCGATCTTCGGATCAAAATTTGGATTTAAAATTATATATATATATATATATATATATATATATATATATATATATATAGGGGTGGGTTCTAATAAGAATGATCTTCTACGAAAGAAATAAGAATGAATGAGATCCATTGATCTCAAATGATCAATGGATGGAAGCCATCTACAAAATGGACGGCACCACTAGGTTTTATAAGGTAAGGAAATCAATTCATTGATTGTGAATTAAAATCAAAGAGTAATAGGGGCAATATTGTAAAATCGTATTGCATTTAAAATGGTCATGGATGACACGCAACTATCCATTACCAAAATTAATGCTTTCTATATATTTGACTTCCACTTAGATTCTTTTTTGGATCTGTTGTCACGTTTTTATCTTTTTTTTATTTTTTCTCTTTTTTATTTTTTTTTTGCCATTTTTCTCCAATAAAAATTAATATTAAATATTTTTTTCCATTGCACTCTTTATTCATCATATGCATTATTTTAATACATTTCACACGGTGGAAAAGATTTATTTATTTACTTTGATTTTTTTTCAAATTTATAAATAATACTTTCTTGTCACGTTATTTTTATCATTTTTTTGGTTAACTATATTTGGTTATTTTTTTATATTATCACATTTTATTATAAGTTTCTCACATTTTAAAGTAAAAACTTAAAAATTTATAAAGACTTTTTAATGTTATTGCACTATGCTAGCTGATAATCTGATATATGCCTTGTGTCTTGCTTTTATATTTTATTTAATTTTTGTATTAATTTGTGGATTAGTGAATAATGACACCTGAGTAACTTTTTGTGAGGTGAAAAAGCTTAAGAATGTATTGTATTCAGACTAAATATAATACAAATTTGAGAAATAGTTTGGCTATGCGGGATTCGAACCCACAACCGTAGTACGTACTGCTCTACCATTTGAGCTAATAGGCACCAATTTTTTGAAAGAGACTCACAACTTGCACTTAGACCGATTAAATATAGATTTTAAGATGAGAATTTTACATAAAATTTTAAGTGCATCATCATTTGCAAAAAAATCACTATGTACAGTATACAAATGCATCAGAAATTCTCCACAAGATGCATCAATTTTGATTCCATATTATCCTTTAGCTTGATTTTGAAAATGTATTGCCCTCTTTTACAAATGCATTAGCTTGATTCAATAATGCACAATGATAGTACAACCGTAGTATGTACTGCTACGGTTATAATACAACCGTAGTACATCGCTCTACCATTTGAGCTAATAGGCACCAATTTTTTTAAAGGGACTCACAACTTGCACTTAGACCTATTAAATATAGATTTTAAGATGAGAAATTAACAGAAAATTTTAAGTGCATCATCATTTGCGAAAAAATCACTATGTACAGTATACAAATGCATCAGAAATTCTCCCCAAGATGCATCAATTTTGATTTTATATTATCCTTTAGCTTGATTTTGAAAATGTATTGCCCTCTTTTATAAATGCATTAACTTGATTCAATAATGCACAATGATAGAAAAAAGCAAAGTAAAAAAAGCAAAAAAAAACAAACAATAATGTACATCCCTATTGAATACCAAATTATCCCACCAACATTATCATGGCCAACAATTTTCAAGAATATAACAATATAACCACAATCCACAAATGTTTTACTTTCTTTTTGCTATGCCTTGAAATGTGACTGGAGGTGGGGGTTGTGCTCAACGTAAATGCAGTATACAAAGGGGTGGAGTGCAGTACTAGTGTTCTACAATGCTATGTCTAATAGAAGAAAATCTTAAAATTTCACAGCACACCAATGCAGACTAGCATAAAAGAAGACATAAAAAGGGGTTTTGAAAAAGGTGGATCATTGTTCTTCTAAACCAATCTAGACCAGCACAAAGGGAGACTCAACAGAGGTATTAAACTTTGAAATTCATTTGCAAAAAAACAAAGAAGGAAGCATCCAATTTTCCAATTATATTGAATCTCTAACTCTAACAAATCTATTACTCAATGTGCAACCAAGGATAATAATACTGCATCTATGTCCCATTTTGCTCCCTGCACCAACTAAATGGAGTTTTTGCACACTAAATTCCAAATTCATCCAGCAAAAAACAAAAACAACAACAAAAAATTCTACGTAAATAAAGACTTACTGCAATTCATTCAACCTAAATGAGCAGAAAATTAACAAGAAGCACAATTCACATGAACAAATGATTTTGAAATTGTGTGCTGTCAAACAAAAAAATCATGTTTAGCAAAAAGAATGAGAAAATTGAAACATGAATCCAAACATAAAGAGTGGAATGCCAAATTGAGAAGTGATTAGAATGCCGAACAAGAAGATTTCTTCCTCCAATGACACACCAAAGCAAAAGGAATAAAATTAAATAATTCAAAAATGTGAATTCATGAGGAGTAAATCTATGATTAGTCGTACCTAAATTAGCAAGAGAATCAGTCGGCCAATTCATCAAACATCATCTATGCTTTTTACATCTTGACTGTCGAACTTCATACAGATCCATGGCCTCGTCTTTATGGACCCATCATGTAATAACTAGAAGAAGAAGAAGAACAAAAAATTGGATTCTGAAATCGGTAACTATAATCACCTTCAACAGAGAGATTAGAAATCAAAATTGATAAATTAGGATTCGCCTACCAGATTATGACGCAAGATTTGGAAGGAATCTCGAAGATGGAGTGTATGCAATGATCTCGGGAAGATGAAGACGGGATTGAGAGAGAGAAACTGATTTCAATGTAAAATACCTCCTTACCTCCTTCCAATTTTGATTTGGAAGGAATCTCGAAGATGGAGTGTATGCATAATTATTCTTATTTCTTTCATTAGATCTTATTCTTATTTGAACAAATATATATATATATATAGTACATAATTTAACAAGTGATTGTTGTCTTTTTCTGGGTTGTCTTGGAAGCTCTGTCCTCTCCCGTTGTTTTTTAGTTCTTTGGGTTTTTCTATGGTTTATTTTTATTCCTTGCTTTGGCATGATGTTGGGGTCGGCCACCCCCTCCTCTTGTACCTTTTTTCTTCTCTTTAATAAAATATCTCTCCTTTCAAATATATATATATATATATATATATATATATATATATATATATATATATATATATATCATTTACTATAATAAAGGAGACTCCGATTCACAGGAATTCGACATTTGGCGTGTCTAATTGGCAAAATTTTGACATGTCAGCGCCACGTAATAACTGAGTAGAATTTAAAGAATATTATATACAGAGTGCACCAGGCCGATCTCCCGATATACCAATTGACCACAGGAGTTTCTTTGATGCATACCATTTTGTATGCATTCTCATATAAAAAATCTTTTTTTATTTAAAATAATAAATCCTTATTTAAGTAGTAAAGAAAAGTCTATTTTGCTTATATGTATGTCGCCTTATTTTAATAATAGTCAACATCTCATTTTTTTAATAACTTTATGTTTGATGATTGTATTATATTTTCTGAGAAAAAAAATAAAGTACAAGAAAAACATGAATTTATAAAAAAAACGAGTTCAATTCTTTTCTCTAAAATAAGAGTTTCCATGCCAATAATGTATACATATAACCCAAAAAAGAGATATATGTAAATATATGTTTTCAGATTACAATAATACGAACTCCTATTATGATGTTAATATAAAATAATTAAAAATAAATATTAAAAAATATAAATACTATTTAAAGAACAAATATAATATTTTTAATTTAATTTAAATAGAATTTTAGGACCATGCTACATATATTAATCCTTTATCTTACTTTCATATTTAAAAATTGCATACTTGAATTAATAAGTTACAGATATTTAGTATGGAAATTCGTGTATATATGGGTTGAAATCAATAGAGTACCTTAATGGAAATTCCAATATTATTTTTGATTCCTTACTTATATGTATTTTACTTCCATGAGTATATTATTGATCACCTTTCTTATATATGATGATTGACAAAATTTATGCAAAAATATTATTAAGAAACAATCCTAAATAATACTAAATTTTAAAATTATGATCACAAGTATATTATTCATGACCTTACTTATATATTATGCATCTTGGATAATACTAATATTATTTTAGATCTCTTTACTTATATATGGCAATCCTTAATTATGTATCTTGGATAATAAATAATATTATTCTGCATTCCTTTATTTTTATTAAGGAATTCGTTATATTTAGGATGGAGATGCATAATATTATTTTGAATTCCTTACTTATATATCTAACTGGGAATGAGTTAAATTGCTCACTTTTATATCCAATTATCCAAATTTAAGGAAACTCTTATATACTTAGGTCGAAATCCTATTATAAAAAGAGATATATAATGAGTTGAAATGTGCCATCCACCACCCATTTTCATTTTACCATTTGAATGCATAGGCATTCAGAATCAATTATGCAATAAAAAAGTGGAGAATCGTTAATTCAACTTTAGCCTTTTGTTTTTAAAAGAATTGGTGGTAGGAGCATCCTATTTTTCTATTTCAATTGGAGCTATGGAAAATCAAGTTGACGATACATGGACGAGATCAATTAGAGATGCAAGAGAAAGGAGAAAAGGAATACTTCAACAAAAAAGGACATAGAAAAGGTATGTATTTTAAATATTGTTTTATCTTAATATATTTAATTTTTTTTTATTATTTTATGGTAATTTCATACATAACTGTTTAGATTTTTTAAATAACAAAATCAAATGGGATATTTTAGTGACTAGAATTTTTGTATTTAAAATTTATATGGTTGCTTTTTAATGAGCATTAAAAAAATTTCTTATCTTCATATGTAAATGCTTAGTATAGACAAATTATTTTATGTTAAAGAAATAAGGTTTTATATGAAATTTAAAATTAGATGTAAATTTTAGAAGGATTTAACAAATTCTCCATGTGAAATTGAACACTACAACAAAAGATTACATAAAAATATGTGTAGTTTTTTAATTATAGTCATGTTATTTTACCAATTATAATCTGCATTCGTAAAAATATTAAATGTCGTTCATAAGTTTCATAAAAATCATGGATAATTAAAATGTAAAATTGTTAATTTATCTAGATATATGCATATAGCTCACTGATTGTTTTTTATCAATTTTGTATTTACATCAATAGGAATAAAGTGATGTCTAACCATGACTCTTTAATTTCATTTTTCTATATTTTTATGTAATAAAAATTGTTTATAGATATTGAATATTTTAAACAATTGAATGGACGAATATTAATAAACTTGAGTAAAAATATATGCATATTTAAAGACAACAAAGACCATCAATAGGCCGCTTGCTATATGTGCCAATAGGAACTGGAGAGTTATACTATTTGAAAATACTTTTAACGGTTCAATGAGGATGTAAAAGCTATTAGAGCTTGGGAACAGTTAATAATGTTATACATAACTCATTCCAAGAAGCATGCAAAGCATTGAGGTTATTAGCTGATGATAAAGAATTCATTGAAGGAATAAAAGAGGCTGCAGAACTACGATATGGAAGTCAATTAAGAAAGTTATTTGTCACATTGTTAGTGACAAATACCATGAGCCGTCCTAAAGTTGTTAGGGAAAAATAATGGGAGCTCTTAGTTGATGGAATTTTATTTGATCGAAGAAGAATATTGCATAATCAAGGTATTTTTATAAAAGTTGTTTTTTATTATTTATATAAACATTAACATGAAATGCATGGTATGTATAAAAACTATAGAATTGACTTCTTTGTCGATATAATTTAGTCTAATATTAAATTTTTTTGCAGAACTTCTTATCTCACAGGAGATCTAAAGAATTTATGATTAATTGAGATTGAAAAGTTACTTAATTCAAACAGACGATTCTTAAAAGAGTTTGGTGGTATGTCATTTCCATATGACAACCCACTCAATAGATTTCAAAAAAACTTCTTGGTAGAGGAGTTGAACTATGATAGAGAAAAATTGTCATCTGATCTTAGAAATACTTATCTACCATGAACGAAGACCAAAGGAAGATATACAACAATATAACGGTAGTCGTGACAGCTGAAAAAGAAGGTTTCTTTTTTGTGTATGGTTACGAAGGGACTAGAAAGACCTTCCTCTAGAAATCATTATCCGCTTCTCTGAGATTAAAAGGAAAGGTTGTTCTGAATGTTGCATCCGGTGGCATTCCAGCATTGTTATTGCCTGGTAGAAGGACTGCACACTTTAAATTCTCAATCCCATTGGCGCTAACTGAGTGCTCAACGTGTGCAATCAAATAAGGGAGCCCAAAAGCTGAATTGATCCAACAAGCAAGTCTGATCATATGGGATGAAGCATGTATGATGAATATATTTACTTTTGAGGCTTTGATCGCACAATGACAGATATCATGGAGTTCTCTAATAGTAATTATAGAATTGAACCATTTGGAGGGAAAACATTTATACTCAGAAGTGACTTTCGGTAGATCCTTCCAGTTTTGCCCAGAGCTTTGAGAGAGGAAATTGTAGGTGCTACGGTCGACTCCTCACATTTTTGGTCGTACTGTAAAGTTTATACGTTGACCAAGAATATGAGACTACATTCATCCAGTCTTCTTGTGCAGATAGGGACACACAAGCTTTTTCTGGTTGGATAATCAAAATGGGTGATGGAAAGCTAGGTCAGGTGATGGATGCAGTTAGTGATGTTATGATTCCGTCCAAATTCTTAATTCCTGATAAGAGTTCTCATATCATGAGTATAGTGGACTTCACTTATCCGAATATATTAGAGAATATGAAAAATTATTCTTTTTTGAGGATAGAGCACTCTTATCACCAACTCTCGAAGTAGTTGAAATGATAAATGAATTTGTCCTCTCTCATTCCTGGTGATGAAAAGGAGTACCTAAGTTCAGATTATTCGTGCCAAGCAGATGTAGGTGTAGGTGTTGATAGTGATTGGATAACAGTTGAGTTTTTGAATGAAATCAAATGTTCGGGAATCTCAAACCACATAATAGTCTTGAAAAAAGGGGTACCGATTATGCTATTGAGGAACATTGACCAAACATCTGGATTGTGTAATGGGAAAATATTAATCGTTCAAGAGCTGCGAAATAATGTTATCGATGCAATTGTAGTTTTGGGAAATCAAGTCGGGGAATAAGTTTACATCCCTAGAATGAATTTGGTACCATCTGATTCAAGACTACCCTTAAAGTTCCAAAGAAGACAATTCCCGATTGCCTTATATTTTGCTATGACTATCAACAAAAGTCAAGGTCAAACATTGTCATTTGTGGGATTATTTTTAACCTAGTCGGTGTTCACACATGGTCAACTTTATGTTGCTATTTCACGAGTGAAGACAAAGACATGATTAAAGATATTGGTTCTAGATGACAATGGAAACCCTTGCAACCATACCAAAAATATTGTATACCCTTAAGTCTTTCATAAAATTTGGTATTAAAATAAACATTGTTAATTCTACATTCAGTTCCTCAAATATTATTTATTTTACTTTGGCATTTTTCATCTGTAGTATTAAAACATGTGAGAAATATATTTTCTTTATTCCAAAATATAAATTTCATTGAAATAATTCAGAATCGACATAAATTTCCTTCGACCTCGTGCATGGCACGAGTCAGAATACTAGTATATATATATATGATGCAGTTCTTGTGAGAATGATGCTCAGTGAAAGAAATAAGAATGGAGGAGAGTCGTTGGATTAGAAGGATTGAAGGGACACGATCGGACGCAGATAGCAATCCCTAAATTGAATTTAAAAGGCAAGCCATTATTATAACGCATTAAATTAGGATATAGTGGA